TCCCACCACACCAACAGGCCCTCCTCGTCCATCCTCCCCACGATGAGCAGCTGTGGCTGAGCATGGTCAGCCCCTGACTGTGTCCTGGTCTCCAGGGGAGGGGAAGACGGTACTAGGGCTCCCTGCTTCTTCCCTGGGACTCTGGGTCCAGACCAGCTCCTGAGCAGGTCCCCACCCCTGGCAGCCAGGATCTGAGATGCACTTGTCAGGGCTGCCTGCCTGTCCCTGTGGGACCCTTCACACACCAGTCCCCTTCCTGTGGCCCGACTCCTCCCTCCCAGGTGTGGGTGAGGTTCGGGTCCTGCCACCTTCGTACACATTTGGGGCCCGTGAGCAGCTCCGAAGGGGTCACAGCTTGACATAGTGTGAGTGCTGGTGAAAACCCTCCCTTGCCTTCGTTTCCTTGTCCACCCAACAGCAGCCCTCCTCTTGTGCCCTGGGGTCATGATGGCACTGAGTTGGCCCACTGGGAGGGAGTCCTCTTGTGCCTCCTTTCGAGGTGCACTTTATGCCGGCGTGGCTGCTCCCTTTGTGCACCTGGGCAGGGGGTGCCTTGTCTGCAGCTGCAGGTGTGTCCTCTCACATGGCCCGCATCCCCTCGGCCTGCAGCAGTTTTTCCTTGATTGGGAAGGGCTCTGTGCCCCGACTCCGGGTCATGAGGCAGCAGCTCCAGGCTGTCATTACTGTGCTCATCAGGGGGACAATTACAGCCACAGAGGAGCAGAGCTGGAGCTCTGGAGGGCACCGAGGGAGGCTGGGTGGGGCAGCTTTGGCCTGGCGAATGGCTCCCCTGCCTGCCCCAGGAAGAGCAGCTTTCTGGCTGTCAGGAACTATTTAACTCCCCAAGAGTGCCAGAGAGAATATAATCTATTATTTGTTCAAAAAATGGGTTTCTTGAGATAACAACAAAGCTCCCAGTACCAAGTCCTACTGAAAGCACTGTGGGAGGCTGGCCTGGCTTTTTGTAAGATAATCACAGGGCTGGAGTGTTCCACAGCTGAAACCCGCAATCTCATCGATTTTCCTCCTGGGGAATTAGACTGTCAATGAGGGCGATGACCCTGCAGGACCAGCAGCAACCCTTCTGGAGCCAGCATTGAGCCAGTGGAATCCAAATATCCAGATCTGGTTGCCAGGAGAGCCACCTCTCACTCCAGGGCCACTGCCAATTTGGAAGCAGACGTTTCTTTTACATCTCACTGAGATATTCACAGAATGCAGCTGGAGGCAGAGATCCACTGTCCCTCGGCTGCCAGAGCTGGCCTCAGGTCCCAGGGCTGAAGTCAGGGCAGTGGTGGGGATGAACAGTTCCTGCTGCCAGAGCAGTCAGTCACTGGCCTTCATGTGCCGGCTGCCCAGTGTGTAGAGTGAGGCTGGCCGGGGGACCAGCTTCTGGACACTGCACTACCCTGCAGGGAAGTGCTGAGGGTGACCTGCGGGGGCCCAGCAGCGCCACCTCAGGCGCTCTTTGAGGGCTTTGGTACAGATTCCTGCTCTTTGTAGCCATGTTGATTCCCACAGCTGCCAATGCTGATGTGGCTCAGCAGACGTCTGGGTCTCGAGGAGACCGAGGCAGGGCCCTGCCCTCGTCCTCGTCCTTCTGTGGGACCTGCACGGAGCGGGAAGGGAACAGTCAGCTTGGAGCACCTTGTGCTGTAAGGCCCGTCCCCTCTCTCAGTCACTGATGGCAAATGTTCCACACCCCTGGCCGCTGTGGGTGACACCAGGGATGGACACAGAAGCAAACGGCAGCAATCCAATTCTAGCTCAGAGAACATTCTTGGAAACAAACAGGGAAATAAGGCACTTGAGGGCGGGGGAGGGATCAGAAGCAGCCCGCTCCAGAGCTCCTGGGATCTGCAGCCCCCTTCTAAGCCCCATAGATGCTTGAGCCCCATCCCTACAGCAACCCCTCATGCCTAGGGCGGGCATCACTCTTTGTCTCCAGACCACAGCGCCACCTGCAGTTGACTGCAGCAGAAGAAGCAACTGCTGCAGGAGTCTCCAGAGTGCTGTGAGCCTGGCAGATGCCCGGGAGGCACAGGACATCCCTGCGGGGTGCAGCAGGGCCACTTTGCACAAAGGTCTGAGTGAGCTAAGATGGATATCCCTCAGAGCGATGTCCCTCAGGGTTTTCAGACAGGACAGTGAGACAGACCGGTGAGGAGTCTGGTTAGACACCATTTCAAGGCTGACACCAATGGGGCAATGAGTGGACCTCGAGACTGGAGAACGCCTTGGATGAGGGTGTGTGGTGCACGGAGCTTCGGATGCCCAGACCATCCCTGTTTTCAGGCCCCTTCATTAACAGTCTGCAACAAATCCCTTCCATCTGCTTGGAGAAAGCTGGTTCCTGTGAACTCCAGGAGAGTCCTGCCTCTGAAAACCCTCAGCAACTTAACAGCATTGATGTTTCAATAAATGTCTAAGGGTGCATTCGGCAATGTATACACATATGTTGGGAGCACAGGAGAGGAGATGCCACAACAAAGAACAGCTGAAGGACATGAGCAACTCTAGCAAAACCACAGGTCCTGTTTCTGGGAACTCTTCTGAGGAAATGGGAAGATCAGGTCCCTACCATGGGCTAAAACGATGCCTCTCCACCAAAAACATGGGCTGTCATACATAAAGCCCTGGAAAAAAGGGAGCAAGTCTCCCTCATAGACCCCAGGAAAGGGCACTGGCCATCTCATTCTAAGGAATTCTGTTTTCCTTCAAAGTGCTTGTCCCCACATTGGGTTTATATGTAAAACAAAACATCATAAAGTTTAAATGAGGCACAGTTTTTGTTTGTTTTGGTCCTTAGGAGCGTACTCAGGACCTTGCGCTTGAGAGGCAGCTACAGAGCCAAATCCCCAGACCTAAGGCAGTTTTATATGAGTGCAGACATATACACCAAATGGAAAAACACCGGTCAGCTAAAAACAGAGCTTAACCTGTGCTCTGACCAAGTCAGGCAGGACCCAGAGCAGCCTCTTTAGATGAGCAGGACTGAGGTAATTTCAGCAGGGGGCTGTAAATTCTGCACTGGATCACCAGGTCAAGAGCCAAACTGGACACTCTCCTATTCCTCAAACTTGAAAACTGTCCCTAGATTTCACAAAATTGTTCTTCTAGCTGCTACTGGAGTCCTAGGTCAGAGGCTGGACTCTGGAGGTCCCCAGAAATCATTTGCCCCAAAAGGTAATGAAGTGGGAAAGGGATTTAATCACTGTAACTACACTGGGAATATAAGGGGACCAGATGTCCTTAGCCACATCTTCAGAGAGAGATTGACCAGAGCTATACGTTTACATAGAGGAAGAACGGGGGCAGGAAGCAGAAGGTGTATGTAATTACACAGCCTTGGTTAGCTCTGCTGTGGTCCTCACTATCTTCATCCTGGTTCTGCAAGGTGGCTGCAGAAAAGTCTTCATTGCTCAAAGGGCACTCTGGTCCCCATGGATTCACGGCTCCAGCATGAGGGGCGGGCAGCCCTAGTTCCTGCCCAGGGTGAACTGCTCCCACTTACGGAGTGGTCTCATCATGGTTACTTGTCTCCCAGTCTCTACTACTCCTGGAATCGAAGGTGACTTTAGGTTTAGGGCAATGAGGGAAGATTTCCAGGTGTGGTCCGGAGGGTCTAGAACAGGCCATTTGGGCAAGTAAATGTCCCTGAAAATCGTGTAAATATCTTAGCTGCTGTTATCTTGGGACCTTCAGTTTTGAAGTGGGATGAAATAGGTTAGATAAATTTGGGGGACTAATAAACCCAGCTTAGACAGACACTCTGTGGGTGGTTAACGTACAAGTGTGCACAGCTGAGCAGGAACCCAAACCAAAATTTAAGGCAATAAAGAAGGACACAAGATGAAGGCAGAGATACCAAGCTTCATCCTACTTTGGTTATTCACTGTGCATCTGCAGGCCCAGGGCAGTCAGTATTTTTTAGCAAAAGCAACCTCTAAGTAGGTTCTAGGACAGCTCAGTTCCCGATTCTACATCCGTTTGGTATCCTAGCCTTTCTGCTCTCCTTTGACCTCCCTCTCTCCCTGGCCCCCCCATCTTTTGGTACCGGGGAGGACCCAACTCAGGACCTTGCGCTTGCGAAGCAGGCCGCAGAACCACTGAGCTAAATCCCCCGCCCTCCATTCTCATTTTCGTGATCAGCACTGTAACAGCCACCCACACGAAATCAGGTGTTTGTGAAACTGATGGGTGTTTCTCTTTTCTTAACTTTTGTACACATTCCAGACTTACCAGTAGATTCCCTGCATCCCCGCCCCCTCCCCCAGGCCTGCCTTGTAGGCCGTCCAGCCTGCAAGTCGAATGTGCGTGAATGGGGGGCACGAACCCCGGCGAAGAGGGTCAGCCTCAAACGCACCCACTAGTACCCTGCTAACCCCTACACCCGGTTCAGCAGCCAAGCGCCCGGTCACCGCGCAACACGTCGGGTGGACGTCGCTGAGTGGTGACGTTCAGAGGCGCCACCCGAACTGCTGGCGCGCATGCGCAGCGACGGCCGACTCCCAGCTCCCAAGGCTGCCGAGCGCGTCCCTTCCGGC